ATGCAGAAATCACTGACTGTGAAGACCAGAACCAGCGGGAGCCACCAGGGAGCAGCAGGACACCTGCCCAGCAGCTCCGCCGAGGCCGTGGTTGTGCTGGACAATGCACCCGAAAACACTGCTGGACACTGAGGTGCTGCCCTGGCCCAGCAGGGGCTCCACAGGCCTCCACCCTGGGCCCGCCTGGAAGAGAAGATGCGCGGGCAGCTGACCGTGGTGCCCACTGCAGAGCGCACGGTCTTCTCGGCCGCGGCCTGCAGCCAGGGCCAGCCGCGGCCACCTCGCTCGCCAGGCAGCCCAGGTCTTCAGTTCAGGAAGCCGGAAGCACAGGGAGTTTGGCCCGCGGAGGACTCCAGCGTCCTGGGGGTGCACTTGAGTGTGCACTTGGGGGTGCACTTGCGTGCACACGGGTTCACGGCCTCCTTGGACCAGGCTCACGTGCCAAAGCGCAGCGGAGGAGGCCCGACTGGCCCGGGCAGAGGGGTCACTGGGCTCCAGGGCTGGAGACGCCGGGAGACCCAAGGCAGAGGCGGCAGCAGAAGCGGCCAGCTCCGGAGGCCCCTGAAGGCTCGCTGAGCTGAGCGCAGGTGCAGCTGCCCTCCGCAGGGTCCGGCAAGCTCGCTGGCCGCGACGGGAGGGTCCGCTGCCCTGGGGTGGCTGCCCCGGGGAGGGCAGCCTGCTCCGCTCTCTGCTGCTGGCCTCTGCTGCTGGCCTCTGCTGCTGGCCTCTGCTGCTGGCCTCTGCTGCTGGCGTGCCCTTGCTTAGCTCTGCTGCATACTTGCGCCTTGCTCGGCAAGATGCTTTGAATTTGACCTCCAGGGGGCAGAGTTTGCTTTCGGCCAGGTGTGGAGTGGGCACGCTGTTAGAGTAGAGAGAGCCGACCATTGTCCTTGAGGCATGTGGGGGACGACAGGAGTGTCCGCCATTAAACGGGGAACCGTGACAACCGAGGACCCGCACGTCTGCTGTCAGCGTCCCCTGGCGGTTCAGCCTGAGTGGCTGGCCTGGGACTCGGGGGACTGGCCGTGGCACGGCGCTCCTGTGACCTCAAGAGACCCATGCAGCAGCCTCTCGGTGGGACGATGGCACTCCTGGCGCTGTCACGAGGGCAGGTCCTGTCGTTTTCCACGTCTACTACTCTTCACGCTGCCCTGTAGACACGGCATAGTGGCCAGCAGACTGTGAGCCAACAGGGGGCAGTGGCTGGCTCTGGCCCCTCTCGTGGTCACCTGCGTCTTGTGCTTTGCATGGCATGCAGACAGTAGGTGATAAATGAACGGGTGGGTGAGTGCAGGAGGCGAGGCCCAGGGCTCGTGAGTAAGCGGGGGAGATGGGTGTGTAACAGGGTGGACCGAGGAAAGGGGGGTTCCAGGTTCCCTGCCCCACCCAGCAGGAGGGCGGAGCTGAGCAGAGAAGGGAGGACTCTGGAGAGGAGTCTGAAGAGGAAGGAAGCAGGATGGAGCCAGAAGGTGGCCTGAGGGGACCGCAGGGAGCAGAGACACGTGAAGAGGCTGCACTGGCTTCTTGGCCCTGGACTGGGTGACACAGACGTGGGTGAGAGACCCCGGGGGAGGAGACTATGGCTGCGTTATCCTGATTTTGATTCTGCTCTTTTCCTCCCAGACTTGTCTGGCCACTTCTGACCGTTTTTCATGGGTCCCTGCCGGTAGGCTGTGGTGGACTTTCAGGCCTCGCTTTGGGCCAGTCCCTTTTGGGTGGACTTTTACCCACAAGGGGGTGGGTAACTTTGTTTGATTTAGAAACTATAGTCTTTGTCTTTTCTGTATTGCACATTAATTGTATTAAAGTCCTTTCCATTAAAGGTCTTATGTCTTGTCTTGATGCGGCGGATGGCAGAACCTATTTAGAGCAGGCAGGTTTGGGGGTTCAGGGGTGCCCCTCTCCCCCTGCCCTGTAGCAGGTGTTCAGCAGTTACCCCTCGGCCACAGAGCACAGCTGGTGTGGCCACCATGGCCTTGCCCGGGACAGGCTTGTTGCCAAAGAGGCTCACCTGGCCGGTAGTCTGTGGGCTGTATTCTTTGTTGACAGCCCCCCACCCTCTCCCCACACTCCCCCAGGACCTGGTGTCTTTCCAGCTGGAGACTCTGAGCAGGAACGGGAAGCTTGCTTTCAGGAGTTGGTCACAGCGGAGGGTTCATGCTGAGATCCTTACTTCGGTTTTTTAATGTTGCTGGACACTCTCGAATGTCGATGTCCATAAGGAATTCGAAGTTCCTCAAGGTGGAGCCAAAACAGAAAGGGCCTATGCTACATCCCCTAAGCTCCCAGGGCCTGGGATAGAAGCTCCCAGCTTTGGTGATTCGTCCAACCGTGTGTCAGCAAAGATCTGCTCCCTCTATGTCGAGGTGGGGAATGGCAACCCTTATCAGAACCACAGGGCGAGAGCAGCCCTGGGCTGGCTGGCGCTGTCAAGGTGTTCAGGGATCAGGAAGAAAGTATTAACTGTATTTGAGCCTCCAGTGATGTGTGGGGTGTGGCAGGGTGCAGTAGGATTGATTCACCCTGGCTAGAGGCCTCTCAGTTGCATTTGGAAACAATAAAATCGGTTGAAGATCAATTTGTTTTTATTATCGCCAAATATGAGCAATTATAAGCAATGTCTGATAAAACACTCTTCTCCACTGCAGCGAGCTCTTCTTATGCCCCTTTCCTGACCTTGGTGATATGTCACCGGCCACTGGACTCTGGGGTGATGTCTGTGACCTGCAGGTCAGTGTGGATCTTAGTCTTTCCTCATCACTTCTCACTCTCTCTACCCCCTTCCAGACCCCCCCCCCCATGATTGTTTTACCCCAGAGCCTTCTGTGAGTGACGTCATCCCATCCTTGCAGAGGCTGTGGGGATGGTGGGACACTACACCCAAACAGTTCTTACACAGTCACACCTCCCTGCTGGGCGGCTTTGTTTGAGTTGGTTGGGGAGAAAGTGATTGCACCAAGTCTCCCAGAAAAGAGATTGCAAGAGTTTTTGTAGACTCTGTGTGGTGCTGACAATTGATGACGTGATACATGCCTATGCCTACAATATCTATCTGTCTGTCATCTGTCCGTCCATTCGTCTGTCTCTCTGTCGTCTGTCTGTCTGTCCATCTATCTATCTATCTATCTATCTATCTATCTATCTATCTATCTATCTATCTATCTACCTATCATCTATCTGTCTGTTCGCCCGTTAGCCCGGTCACCCGTCCATCCATCTGTCCATCCATCCATCCGTCCGTCCATCCATCCGTCTGTCCATCCACTCACCCATCCACCCACCCTCCCATTCATCTACCTCGTGTACTTATCCTGTGTTTAGTGGACTGATGGACTCTATAGAACTTCCAACAAGCATTTGGGCTGCTCATTTTGCCATGCTCCTCACTGACCTGCTTTTCTCCCACCCATGGGGGAATTTAGCCCACAACAATGTGTGGAGACATCCTTGGCTCCTCCCTTTCTGTCCCAGACAAATCATATGTGAAGCAATGCGCTTCCAATCTGATCCATCCAAGGCTGGCCACTCCTCATATCAGCCAGGGCTTCTCCCGGAGACAGCAAGACCTGCTCTGCCCTTCTGCTCTTTCACACTGGTCTCCTGCAGTCTGGTTTCCAGGCAGCCAGCAGTGGCCATTTAGTTGGTAAGGGCACGTCCCACCTCAGCACAAAGGCCCCGAGGCCCACACGGCGCTCAGCGGGAGCACCGCCCTCACGTGGCCCTTGGCCCTCCGTGGCCCTTGGCCCTCACGTGGCCCTTGGCCCTCCGTGGCCCTTGGCCCTCACATGGCCCTTGGCCCTCCGTGGCCCTCGAGGACCTCTGCCCGGCTCCTCACTGCACTCTCAAGGCTCCTTGCAGTTCACACATCATCCACCTCCTGGCTCTTGGTGAGAGCAACAGACCTGCTCCCTCCTCAGGCTTTGCCCTGGCTCTTTCCTCTGCCACAGTCTCACCCCCTCACCCTCACACCCCCTCACGCCCTCAAAATTGTGGTGAAGCCACATCTTCCCTTTTTGATTCCAGTTTTCTCTTGCTTCCCCTGCTCAGCGTCCATCATCGTCAGCCACACCAGAGAGGTGTGTCTGGTTTTCTCCTCCAGAGAGGGTTTAGCGTGGGAGTTGCGCTGCCGTGGCTGTGGTTGGGGGGCAGCCGTGTGGCCACACAAACAAAAGCCGAGTAAATCGCTTACGCAGGAACGCAGGTAATGGGGGGCTCCCGTCCGCCCCCTCTGACCAGGTCAGGAGCAAGGCCTTCATCTCTCCTGTGCTCCAGGGCAGGGCCGCCCCCGCTCCCTGTGGGGCCACTCCACTCCCCCACAGACTGTGTCCCTGTCCTCTGTGTCTACCCGCAGTGAGGGCATGTGGCCGGGGAGGAGGCAGAGAGAGAAGAAAGACACCCCGCACCCCCAATTCTTCCTATTCAACTTGGCTCTTTTCTCATGCCTTCTCCCCAGCCTGCTTCCCTGACACGAATTCTGGAGGGTGATTTCTTGTTCTTGACTTCATTCACAGGGTTCTTCTGCACTGGAAGCTTTACTCAAGGGCCAGGGCAGCTGGGCACTTTGGCATAACGACAGTTGGGGTTTGCCAGAGGCACCATGGAAAGGCAGGTGCTCTCCCCCTTGCGTTTGTCTCTACCCCGGGGAGTCTGCGTGCAGGCCCAGGCCGCTGCTGTCTCCTGTGGGATACATAGCCCAGGGGCGCTCACAGGCCGGGGGGCGGGTGTGGGGGGCGGTCAGGGGCTTAGACGTGCCTGGGCTTGCGGGCTGGAAAGGCAGGTGTGGGTTTCCCGCGATGCAGGGTCTCCTTGCGATGCCTATTAAAAGAGACAAGTCTCAGCTTTCGCTCAGTGCCAGCGGACATTCCCACGCTCATAAATGGCATTAATAACTTTCTCCTGCCTTTTATGTCGTCTGGAGGCTGCCGTCGGCTGATAAAAGGCAGGAGGGCTCGCAGGGCCCTTCCTCTGCTCCGCTGGCCCGCACCCCCGCTCGGCAGGCCATGGCCGGCCGGTCCTACCGCATCAGCTCCGGCTGCGGGACCAGGAGCTTCAGCTCCTGCTCTGCGGTTGGGCCCAAGCCTGGCGCTCGCCGCTGCTCCAGCGCCATGGTCTACTGTGGGGCCGCCCTGGGGGGGCCGGGCTCCAGGTGGCTCGGGGGCTTTGGCAGCAGGAGCCTGTGTGCAGTGGGGTCCCCGAGGGTGGCGGTGAGTTGCCGGCGGCCCCTTGGCAGTGGGGGCAGCTTCGGTTACCGGGCGGGGGGCCTTTGCGGCCCCAGCCCGCCCTGCATCACCACCGTGACAGTGAACGAGAGCCTCCTTGCACCTCTGCACCTGGAGATCGACCCCAATGCTCCGTGCGTGAAGCATGAGGAGAAGGAGCAGATCAAGCGTCTCAACAACAAGTTTGCTGCCTTCATCGACAAGGTGGGTCTGGGAGGTGGCCCCTGGCGCGAGGGACTAGGGACTGAGGCCAGGCTGGGACCTCATTCTCGGGGTCCCAGGTGGCTACCACGTAGCCTGTGGCCTTGAGAATGCGGCTGAATTAGGGTCTCGGCTGAATGAAGGTCTCCAGGGCTGAGTGGAGACCCCTGGTGCTGGGCTGGTGGCTGCACGGAGTCTTGGCAGTTTGCACAAAGAAGCCAAGCGAGAGGCGCGTGACCCAGACAGACAGCCGCTGGGCTCGCCTCCGGACACAGGCCCAGCACAGTCTGTGCTTCCGCTTTGTCCAAGTCAGGCAAAGTCAGATCGTTGAAGTGAGTTAGGAATGAAAAGGATTTTATAAAATAATAAATACGTCTGTGGGTCAGATGTAGGGCCTGGAGCTGCCCATGGACACTTGCTGGTGTGTTCCCCTGCCTCAGTTTACCACGGCCTTCAGAGACGATGAAGCAGAGAGGGCCGGTGGTGGTGGAGGGAGACAGTAGGAGCTCCAGCTCCTGGCCCAAGGCCCCTCCTGGGCTTCTGCACCCCGGGGTCAGGGGCAGGGAGAGTCACAGAGAGTTCACTTTTAAATCTCGTCCACAAATGCACCCACAAACTCAGCAGCTCAAAACAGCACCCCCTTATGCTCTCATGACATGAAACGACAGGACTGAGCTCCCTGTGACTGTGAGGCTGAGGCCTGTCCCTTGCCAGCTGACGGCCAGCGCTGTTCTTCCTTTGGAGGCTGCTGGTGCCCCTGGCTCCGGCCCCGTGTTCCGCCTTCCTCAAAGCCAGGGGGCGTGACTGTCCTTCTGGTGGCTGAAGCCTCTCCTCTGCGTCCTCTGAGCCGCTCCCTCTGTCTTCCTCCTCCACGTTGGAGGGCGCAGGTGGCCACCTGGAGCCCACCGGGCCACTTCGCGACTCTCTTGATCTTCAGGTCCAACAGCCTGAATTCATCTGCCACGTCTCTTTTGCCACGCCAGGTGACACATTCACATGTGGCAGCGAGCAGGGCGCGGGCACCCTCGAGGGGCCAGTTTCATCCGACCTCCGTGGGGCATTTCTGCAGAATCAGATGGTAGCCTCTGTCAAATGAACAAAGAAACACGTCACTGTAAATTGCGTGCACTTCCTGAGAGAAGGGATGGCGGGTGCAGACGTGACTCGGGGAACAGTTGTGACTTACACAGTCCCTGATTCTGACAAAAGAGCGACTTTCAGCGCAAGGTCATGAGCTGTTGCAGGGCAGACACCACCCCCAGGGGCAGAGAGCGCTCTGGGGGGTCGGGGCTCTCCTGGGCTTCCGTGAGTCTCTCCTACCACCCCGATGACAGGTGCGCTTCCTGGAGCAGCAGAACAAGCTGCTGGAGACCAAGTGGCAGTTCTACCAGAACCGCCAGTGCTGCGAGAGCAACCTGGAGCCGCTGTTCAACGGCTACATGGAGACGCTGAGGCGGGAGGCCGAGAGCGTGGAGGCCGACAGCGGGCGGCTGGCCGCCGAGCTCAACCACGTGCAGGAGGTGCTGGAGGGCTACAAGAAGAAGTGAGCGTCACAGGGTTAGGGTGGTTACAAGGCTGGGGGCGGTCTGGCGGGTGCACACGGCTCCTGACAGAGAGGTGGCTGAAGTCAGGGCCAGCTAGGCTGCTCTAGGTGCGTCATCTAGCTTCTGTCCCCAGCCCTGACAGCTCTATCCTAGAGCTGGAGAAAGACTTGGAGAGAAGAGGAGCTCCTGTTTGGGGAGGGAGGGGACCCCTGGCTAGGGTCAGGTTGCCCTGGAGGTGGAGTGAGAGAAGCCAAAGAACAGATCAAGAGGGCGGAAGAGCAGGACTTGGGAGTGGGCAGGGCTGGGCTGAGGGAAAGGAAGTTCCAGGAGGTGACGTGGCCCACGCCACTCTCGGTCTCCGATGGAGCTGGAGAGTTCTTTCATTCACTCGGCAGATCAAGCGCCCAGCTCTTGTCCTGCAGCCTCTGTGGCTCAAGCACCCAAGGAACGCCTGTGTTCAGCTGCCTTAGTTGGCCTGGCTGACGGCTCAGTGGCCATTGTTGACTTGTTCCTCTTTACCTGGCACCTGCACAATGAGGGTGATTTTGGCATGAGCAGTCCTGGGGATTCTCACTGGAAGTCTCTGGAATTCTGGTCTCGGAAGACCGGGCTGTATCATGGAAGTGGACCCCGCAAAGGGGCTTCACCCCCAAGGGTGATGCAAATGCAGACATGATTCTCAGTGTGCGGGTGTCAGGACTCACTCCCACGCGGGATGTGTGGGCCAGTAATTATAGAGCTCAGAGTTTATAGCAGCCCAAATTACCCTGTCATTAGAAACTAGTGAAAACTGTGTTCTGGGAACTCCGGCCTTCCTAGCTGGCCAGGGCTGGGCTGCTCCAGGGAAAAGGCCTCACAGCACAGAGGAGCAGGGCCAGGCTGGCGGAGGGGGCTGTGGAGACCCTCCCCCCACCCCTCCGCCTGGCACTGCGCGTGGCTTGCAGTCATTCAAGTCCTTGGAGTTGGGGAGGAGAAGAGAATGTCACAGGATGGCTCCACGGAGTTTTATGTTCTACACAGTTTTAGGGTTGTAGGGTCGCTTGGATCTTCCTCCACTCACCCGACACCTGCCGAGGCCTTCCGCACCCCGGCAATCTAAGCACGGTGCAGAGCGATGAGATGACGGTCTGGGATTTACAGGGACCCCAGCCCGAATGTGGAGCAGAGAGCAGGAACTGGGACTCCACACCCAGGGCTCGGTGGGTTCTTCGTGCCCGAGAATTAGGAGTCCAGAGAGGCCTCGCTTCTCCTAAGCCACACAGAACGAGCGAGATTTGGGCACCCAGGCTCTGCGGGCCGGTCCCTGGCCCCGGCCCCGGCCCCAGGCCCAGGCCCAGCCCCAGGCCTCTCTTCCTGTGCCTCCCTGCAGGTATGAAGAAGAGGTGGCGCTCAGAGCCACAGCTGAGAATGAGTTCGTGGTGTTGAAGAAGGTGAGTGGCCCTTCCTCAGCGGGAAGCAGTAAATCAGGGACTGGGCTGCCCCCCTGCTCCCGTCAGTCACGGCGCAAAGTTCACGCATCCCTGGCAGGGGACGCTGGCTCTGGAAACCTCCTTGGCTTCCACGCAGGAGCCTGGGCTGGGCTGAGGCTTCTCGAGGAAGGTTCCTCATCGCACCTGCTGTGGCGTTCATGAACAATTTTCTGCTCTTCTCAAACGGTCGCTCCACAAACTGTCTCATGCTCCTGTGCACTCACTTCCCCACCCTGCCCCCCTGGGGGGAGGGCCACTGACGTGTGTGCACCGTTCGTGACGGCTAACAGAGGCCCCTCTTAGAGGGCCCTGACACAAGGCGAGACGTCCGGGCTAGGCGTGCATGGGCCGGGCAGGCCGGAGGCAGAAGGGAGGGCCGGGACATGCCGCAGGCCCCGTAGAGTGTGGGGGCCGGGGGCCCAGTGACCGTACCCCTCGTTTCCTGCCTGTCCCCACCAGGACATCGACGGCGCCTATCTGCGCAAGGCTGACCTGGAGGCCAACGTGGAGGCCTTGAAAGAGGAGATGGGCTTCCTGCAGTCCCTCTACGAGGAGGTGAGCGTCTCTATTTCTGGAAGAGAAATGAGGGAGGAGACAGAGGAGGTTTTCTTGGGGTGTGGCCAGTCCTGCTTCCATGGTTCTAGCGAAAACTGTCCATTTTTACTCCGTTAGGCCCTGAGCATCCTTCTTTTTGTGACCAGAGATTTTCCCTTGCTCAGGGTCCTTTCAGATGGAAATGGGCGATGCCCTTTCTTAAAATGATTGGAGAGCCTGAGTCATTGCTGGTTCACAGCAGAGTGGAGCCCGACCATACCCGCTTAGGTCTTCAGATAGCTAGTAAGGTTCACTCAGGAGGGGAGAAACCGCATTAGAAACTCGGGAGCCTGTGCCTGGCCGCTAGCTGGTGGGCTGCCAGCTGGCCTGGAGTCAGGCCTCAGGCTGCGGAAACAGTCAGTCTCTGTCATAGAAATCTGTCCTGTTGATGGTGCGTGAGATAGAATTTCCCTTTCTCGGGCCCTCCCTGGTGGCGCAGCGGGTAAACGCAGCACCGAGAAGCTAAAGCCACTTAGGCATGAGCTCGGTCCCCACCCCGGAGCTGACCCACATGGCGCAGCAGACCTCTCCTGACCCGCCCGCTGCTCCCCTCAGCAGTGTGCTTCGTCAGTCTGCCTGTTCTGCTCCCCACTCTGTCTCTGGTGAAGCCTCTCACCCCCTGCACCTCTGGCTTGTAACCCAGTTCTGTATGTATGAATAAATAAATCTTAAGAAAAAGAGAATTTCCCTTTCTTTTTGCCATGAGGCCATGGTCCAGATCCCAGCTTTTCTTCAGACATCTACACTCAAAACTTTTCTTTTTTGAAGATTTACTTGTGCACACGGAACTGGGGTACAGGCCAGGGGTATGGGGAGTGAGAGGATTCATGAAAGACAGTGGGGAGCAGAACAAGCAGGTCGACGAAGTCCACTGCTGAGGGGGGGTTGTGGGCGGGTCAGGAGAGGTCTGCCGCGCCATGTGGGTCAGCTCCCTGGCTGGGGATCGAACTCGTGCCAGAGCAGCTGTGGACAGTGCTGCGTTTTAACCTGTTGCGCCGCCGGGGAGGGCCCCTCACTACCTTTTTCCTTGTCCGTAGCTTTCTAATTTATTTCTGCAAGTTTAAGAGCTGGGACTGTATTTTGGATGACTGTGGAGTCTGGATCCAGGGGGATTTAGGGCCGAGCCACTACTATTACCTCCTACAGGAAATTCAGCTCCTCCACTCGCAAATCTCTGACACGTCGGTGGTGGTCAAGATGGACAACAGCCGGGAGCTCAACATGGACTCAATTGTGGCCGAGATCAAGGCCCAGTACGACGATGTCGCCAGCCGCAGCCGGGCCGAGGCCGAGACCTGGTACCAGAGCAAGGTGGGCTGGAGGGCTGGGCTACGCCTGGACAAGGAGGGGCACCGTGGTCCTGGGGTGTCCCGGGACCTGCGCCTGCACACTTGGGGGGTGGCAGCCACAGTCCGAGCCCGCCAGGAGGGAGGAGGGGGGACGTGGCAAACGGCGGAGTCTCTGGAGAGGGGAGCCATGCGTCCCCGGCACACGCTCCAGCCCTGTGGCCCTCAGGGACGTTTCTGCGTGTCCGTCTCTCACCCCGCAGTGCGAGGAGATGAAGACCACAGTGACCCAGCAGGGTGAGAACCTGCGCAGGACCAAGGACGAGCTCAGCGAGCTGAACCGCATGACCCAGAGGCTGACGGCAGAGGTGGAGAACGCCAAGCAGCAGGTCCGGAGCGCACTCGCCGTCCTGCTTCTTCTGATCTACTTCCTGCCTTCCTCTGGCTTGCAGGGCCGGCGCTGCCCTGGAGAGCCTCCGTTTCAGCCCCCGGCAGCAGAGGACTGGCCGTCACAGAGCGCACGAGGGGCAGCTGCTCCTGCCTCCTGCTCATGCTTTGCCCTTACGCCCTCCACCCCCCTCACCATCTTGGGCCTCCGCACACACCCTGTGCAGTGCGTGCTGACCTGACTCCTGCTTTCTCCTTTCCATCCTGCACCTTGATGGCCCGGAGGAGTGCAGACCAGGGCAGACCACTCCCCACCACCCTCCACAACCCATCAGCCCGCAGCCTGCAAGGAGCGCCATTCTGCTCCCATCCCCAGCCCACATTCTTATGTATCAGCCTATGTCCTGACAGTTCATACTGTTTTGTTTTTTAAAAAAGATTTATTTAGTTATGCATACAGAACTGGGGTGCAGGCCAGAGGTGCAGGGGCTGTGAGAGGATTCACCAGAGACAGAGTGGGGAGCAGGACAGGCTGACTGACAAGTACACTGCTGAGGGGAGCAGCGGGCGGGTCAGGAGAGGTCTGCTGCGCCATGTGGGTCACCCCCGGGGCAGGTGGGGATCGAACTCATGCTGAAGTCACTTCAGCTTCTTAGTGCTGCGCTTTAACCCGCTGCGCCACAAGGGGAGCTCTGATTTTAGTGTTTTAAATGATAGAATGATATTACGCCAGAAATCTCATGCTGACTGTCTCCTTTGCCAGTGGCTGCTGGTTTTGAATTCCACATGCTGCTGGAACTCGCCTGTTTCATTATTTCTGCCCAATGGAGCTTGTATGATTCATAAACCACCTTCCCCATAGACAGACAGCTACCTGGCCTCCAAGTCTTTGCTACTACAAGCTGGTGTGTCATTAGCATTTTAGCTCGTTTTTGCACATATCTCCATGTGCGCCTGGCTGAGCCGTGTCTTGAGGGAGTAAGGTGGAAAGGGAGGCTGGCGGTGGTTAAGATAAGCACAGAGACACTTGCCTTGAGTGCTGGCAGGCCCCAGAGAGGTCTCACCCTGCCTATTCCCACCAGAAGTGCCCAAAGTTTCACTTTCTCCACATCCTCCTTGCACTTGTATTTTTGTTTTAAAGATTTATTTATTTCTGCATACAGAACGGGGGTACAGGCCAGAGGTGCAGGGGTGGTGAGAGGCTTCACCAGAGACAGAGGGGGGGGGAGCAGAACAGGCAGATGGATGGAGTATACTGCTGAGGGGAGCAGCGGGGAGACAGTGGCCCTGTGGGTCACTCCCTGCCCAGGGACTGAGCTTGTGCCATAGTTGCTGTGATAGCTTAGTAGTGCTGCACTTTAACCCGCTGCGCCATGAGGGAGGGCCCTCTTTTTCTCTCCCTTTAATAATGGCCTTTCTGGCAGGCGTGATTCTGACAGGTATGAAGTGATTGTCATTGTAGTTTTGGCTGCACTTTGTCGAAGGCTAGCAAAGGTGAACATATTTCGTATACCTGACGGCCGTTTGTCTTCTTTGGAGAATCATTCAAGCCCTTAGCCCATATTTAAAGTATTGGATTGCTACTTTGGTGGGACTGAGTTGCAGGGGTTCCTTATGCTTTCTTATGTGGGGCCAAAGGAGGAGCTGCGTTTATCTTGCTGGGAGTCATGATGGGAACTTCTTCCTGACTGATCTCAGAAGCCAAAGGTGAGACTCGGAACACTGGCTTCTGAGAACCTCAGCTCAGCGCTGTTGAGTGGGCCTCTCAGTTTCTTCGCCTGCTCAATGGGAGAAGCAATACTTGCTCTGACACGCTCAAGAGTGACGTTGAGGTCAAACACGATAACATCTGTGAAAGTGCCTTGTCAACTAACCATAATGCACCAATCCAAGATGCTATCACTAATTATTATTTGCTCTAGCCCGCTGCTAACATTTCCTTCCTCCAGTGGCTCACCATGGACAAGTTTAGAATCACGTGGTATGCAAAAATAAAGCAAGAAAGCTCCACATGGCTGTTATCCAACTGCTTAGTTAACATAATGTTATAGTTGACCATTTGCATGCAGGTGAGATGACATGAGGGTTTTCCAGTTGCACCCTCCTCAAACACCTTTATTCCTCTGCCCCCCCCCCCCCCCAGCGCTGCAAATTGGAGGAAGCAGTGGCTGCTTCAGAACTGCAGGGCGAGGCGGCCCTCAGCGACGCCCGCTGCAAGCTGGCCGGGCTGGAGGAGGCCCTGCAGAAGGCCAAGCAGGACATGGCCTGCCTGCTCAAGGAGTACCAGGAGGTGATGAACTCCAAGCTGGGCCTGGACGTGGAGATCGCCACCTACAGGAAGCTGCTGGAGGGCGAGGAGAGCCGGTGAGGACACCACACAGGGCCTCTTAACCGGCCCCCCCAACCCCTGGAGCTAAAGGAGGGTCTTGCTGGGCTGTGACTCTCCAGGCACAGACCCAGAAAGCCTCCTGGGATGATGGGGTCCACCCGAGCACATTTTCAGATAAGACAAATGGGGCCCAGAGAATAGAGGCGCTGACTTTGCAATCCCCTCGCCAGGGCCGCAGAGAGCTCTCTCTCCCGTATTGTCCCTCCAGCAGCACGTAAAGCTCATTTCAAGGCAACCGCTTTACCGGGCTGACTGCAGGGGCGGGTCAGCTATGGCGCCTCTGGGGGTGCTGAGAGAAGACTGGGTGTGGGCGGTACGAACACAGGTCATCTGATGTTCGCGACCACAAACAGAAGTGAGCAGAACAGAGCCCCTCTGAGTGGGGGGAAGACTGGGCACCCATAAGTGCATCCTTCACAGGACCAGGCTAGTGTCACGGCGGCTGTTTCAGGGGGAGACAGAAGAGTTGGGGGGTGGGGAGGGAAGGGCGCTTCACTCAGCACTGACAGTTTGAGCCAAGAATCGGGGCAGGTGAAGTTGGCATGGAGAGAGCAGGCGATCTTATACCTTCAGGTGCCTTGAGTGGCCCCGTTACTGTGGGTCCCTAGGCGGGTCCCCTGAGCATAGGCGGCCTAGTCTGGGGAGCAGAGGTTAAGCGTATGGCCTGTGAGCCAGACCATCTGGGCTGGAACCCCAACTGCAGCACTTACTGCTACTTACCTCTGTTATTTATTTATTTTTTTAAGATTTATTTATTAGGCCCTCCCTGGTGGTGCAGCGGGTTAAAGCACAGCACTGAGAATCTAAAGCTGCTTCCGCATGAGTTCGATCCCCGCCTGCCCCGGAGGTGACCACATGGCGCGGCAGACCTCTCCTGACCCGCCCGCTGCTCCCCTCAGCAGTGTACTTCGTCGATCTGCCTGTTCTGCTCCCCACTCTGTCTCTGATGAAGCCTCTCACTGCTCCTGAGCCTCTGGCCTGTACCCCAGTTCTGTATGCACAAATAAATAAATCTTAAAAAAAAAGATTGATTTATTTATGCATACAGAACTGGGGTACAGGCTAGAGGTGCAGGGGTGGTGAGAGCGACAGAGAGGGGAGCAGAACAGGCAGATCGAGTGAAATACACTGCTGAGGGGAGCAGTGGGTGGGTCAGGAGAGATTTTCCGTGCCACGTGGGTCAGCTCCCTGGCTGGGAATCACACTCGTGCTGCAGTGTCTGCGGAGAGCTTCATAGTGCTGTGCTTTAACCCGTTGCACCACCTGGGAGGGCCCCACTACTTACCTCTTTTTAAAAAAGATTTATTTATACAGAACTGGGATACAGGCCATAGGTGCAGGGGATGAGAGGATCCACCAGAGACAGAGTGGGGAGCAGAATAGGCGCATTGAGGAAGTACATTGGTGAGGGGAGCAGTGGGGAGATGGGAGAGGTCTGCCGTGCCAACCCCCTTGGCCAGGGATCGAACTCGGGCTGCAGCTGATAGTTTCATAGCTCCAGGAAAAGGCATGCGTTTGGGGGTTGCAGAAGGGGAGATGCAGAGTGGGAAGTGCAGGCGGGGCTTGGTGTTTATGTGGAGCCCATCAGGTGTGAAAGGCCCCTCAACATGAGTGAGCCTCACGCCAAGAACAAACCTGACGGTGGCGTTACCGTCACTGTGCGTCACTGTGCTGCAGACATGCGGGGCCCAGTTAAGCCTCACAGCCAACAAGGCGGGCGTCCTCACAGTCACCGTATGTGGAGGACATGGGGGCACAGACATGCTATGGGACTTGCCCAGGGCCACCCAGGGAGCGCGAGGCGCACCCCAGAACCTGGGCCCTTCACGGCTTCCAGTCTCCCTCGGCACCTGTCCCAGAAGTGTGGAGTAGCATTTGAAATGATGAGATAGAAATAAAGGATGTGCCTGGCTGCCGGGGGAGCTTCCTCCATGCAGAAGGATGCAGGGGTGCGCTGCTCCCCTCACCTCTCTGCCCGCTGGAACTCACTCGCGGGGTCGGCCACCTCCTCGTTACCTGTCAGCCCACCACGCATTCATGGCTGAAAAGCCAACAAGGCGACCTGCTGCTGCTGTGACTGACATTCCCTAGTCTATTTGGGAACCCAGGGGTGGCGCCATCGCCGATGCTCTCTGGGGTCAGGAAGTTCCTCCCTCAGCTCCCGCTGGTGGGAAATCAGCTGGCCACAGAGCAGAGGTGATGGATTCTAACAACCTACTCTCTCCTCTCCTGTGCAGGCTGTGCGAAGGTGTGAGCTCAGTCAACATCTGTAAGTTGAGTGTGTGCGTTATTGGGAGGGGGTCCTTTTTTTTTTAAGATTTATTTATTTACACAGAATTGGGGTACAGGTCAGAGATGCAGGGGCAGTAGAGGATTCACCAGAGATAGTGCGGGGAGCAGAACAGGCAGCTTGACAAAATACACTGCCGAGGGGAGCAGCGGGCGGGTCAGGAGGGGTCTGCTGTGTCATGTGGGTCACCTCCGGGGTGGGGAACTGAACTCATGTTGAAGTGGCTGCGCCTCGCTTCGAAATGCTGAGCTTTAACCCGTTGTGCCACTGGGGGGTGGGGAGGCCCAGGAGTGGGGGTTCTCTTGGATGTCAGTCTTAGTATTGAGTTGCAGCTAATGGGACCCTCTGGCTGAGGAAGATGGCAGCTGAGGTCTCTGGGAGCTGGGCCAAGGGACGCCCCACATGGATCCACACAGAACACCCTCGAAGCCTAAGTTAATGACAGTGGCAAATTCTGACCCCTCACTGGGTGTGCAGAAATAGCCGAAGCCTCAACTGCCCAGAGGAAGCTCCTACGTCTGGGGTGACAGAGAATCCATCTCCTTGCAGGTGTCAGCCGTTCCCAGGGTGGCGTGGTCTGCGGGGACCTCGGCTCCAGCGGCCCGCGCGCCCCGGCCCTGAGTGGTGGCGGCTGCCCCCCGTCTGTCCTGGGGGTCTGCTCTGGTGCCAGAGCTGTGCGGTTTGCATAGAGGGGGCTCCGCTCTGAGGCGGGAGGGGGGTGGGGAGGGGAAATCTTTCTCTCTCGGGTCCAATTGGCAGGTGGCTCACTGCCACTCCAGGGGAGCCAGACTCTGCCTCAACGTCCTTCTCGCTGGAGGTTCCTGGCAGAATCTTGGGTGTGAGCCTGGGGAGGCCTCGCTGGCGCTCCGGCGGCTGGGCCATGTCTGGGGAAGGGATGTAAAGGTGTTTGGATACAAACTGCTTGGTTGTTTTCTTCTTCCGTAACTCGGGGGGAGACAGGCAGTGTGCGGGCGCCTCAGGACAGTGGGGCTGGGGCTGAAAGACTGTGTGTTCCTGAAGTACCCCAATAATTCCTAGGTCACACTGTCAGTGTCCTGGAGACACCACCGCGGCTGAGGTTACTGGCGATGGCTGGATTGTTCTGTTCGGGTGATTCTCTGGCCCCTTCTCCCTTGGGGGTGCATAAGTGTCAGTGGGGTGACCGAGTTCATGCCCGCCTCCTTGGTGGCTTTCACAGCCCCCCCAAACCCCTGATTTCTTTTTCTGGGCTTCTCCAAGGGGTGCCAGCAACTTCAGCCCTCACCTCTGCCAGCCCCCAACAAGCCTGGCCTGGGGGAGTCTCTCAGGGCGCTCCTGAGTGCGTGCCCCCCAGAGGTGCTGAAGGCCACTTTCCCTTGCTTTATTTTATTTGGGGTTAAAGATAAAAGACTGGCAGAGACGCCGCTGTTAGAAGGTGACTCGCCCCCCCCCCCCCTGCACACTCACCTGAGGCGGGACAGCTGTGGCTGATCTCGCGGCCGCGCGCCCGGGAGCCCCGAGGCCCGGCCAGCGGTGGGTGCCTCTGCTTCTGGACCGCGCGTCCTGGGGGGCTGCCTCCGGGCACCAAGTTTGAGCCAGGGCGGGCTGGGGTGAGGTCCCGTCAGGGCCAACGCGCCCCCAGATGGGCTTGGCGCCGGGAAGTGGGCTGCGGGGCTGTAGCCGCCTTGGGGGCAGGGGCTGCCGCCGCTTGCGGGGCTCCCGCTGCCTGGGGTGGGGCTCCCGGGACGGTCTCTCTCAGCCTGGCGTGGAGGTGCGGGCGAGGTTGCCTCCATTTTTTTTTTTAACTCAAAGGCTCACCCCCTGGGCGCTGCCCCGGCCCCACTCGGTCCCCCTCTGCACCCCAGTCCAGTAGCACCGAGGGAGGGCGGGCGGGCGCTCTGGGGCCTCCTCGGCTGTGTTCCAACAGGCGGGAGAGTCAGGGGTGTGCGCGAGCGTCGGGGATGCCGGACAGTGGGGGACGCAGTTGCGCCTGGCTCCTTCCCGAGCGAGAGTGGGGCTTCACGCTGGCGCCTCTCTAGCTTTCAGTGAACCAACACTGAGCACGGTCCCCTCTCGGGGCTCATGTCCCGGGGAGCGCGGGGGAGGCTGACGACCAGACCCGGGCGGCTCCCAGACGGCCGCTCCGTGTCCCGTCCACTCGAGGGGGACACTGTCCCCGACAATGTGGTGAATTCGTGTTACTCACTGTTTGACTCAGGCGAGTAATGTCACAAGTGGGGACTTCCCGAGGCCCCAAGACTGAAGGGGGTGGGGAAGGGGGCGCCCCTGGGGGTGGGGGAGGGAGCACTCTGGGCGGGGTCGTGAGGGTGGCCCCATTCAGAGGCGACTCGAGACCCGCAGAGGCGGGCCTCGTGGTCTCTGTGCAGAACGAAGACCACACCAAAGCCCAAGCGTGCCTAGTTTTTTTTTTTTTTTTGTGGGGGGGGGAGAGTAGAATTCATGCTTCCTAATGCTGGGGGGAGTGGGCATCGCTGATTTAAGTAAGAATTTAGACAGAAGAACTGATTTTTCTCTGAGGAAGCTCTGAGCTTGATTTGGAACTCTCAAACCAAAAGGGAGCCGAGGAAAGTTTGGGGGGTCACTTACTGGGACCCACTTTATTGTTTGGGCCACTTGTTCTGACTTTTCCCTCACCTTGATTTCAGACCACTTGACTCCTTTCGTTTTCTAATAAAATTACTCTTGGATTGTATCTGAAGAGAGTAGTTTTTTTTTTTAACCTGGAGAGGAGCTATGATTTCCAAGAATCCTGTGAAGGAGAACCCCTGGAGTCTTGCTGTGGCCTATAAGGAGGACAGGGGAGGGTGGAGAGTCTTCTCCTCACAAACCAGCTGCACCTCTGGCTGGCTGACTGGCTGACAGGTCTTTGCAAATAAAATTATTCACATCTGCCGGCCTCTGGCTGTTCCACTTTTCAGCGCATGCGTTCGCACTTTTTGGAGTGTCAGACTTGGCATTTTAGTTATGCTTTATGGCTTTCCCCAAGCACAGACTCACCCCAAAACCCAGAACCACAAAAGGTGGCCCGGCTGGAAAGGGCTCAAGCCCCCTCAATACCCAGGCTGACACAGCCCCGGAGACCTCCCTCGTCCAAGGTCTTTCTGTGACGTGCAGAGCTGATGCTCCAGTTTCCATCTCTTGACTTCTTGAAAACAAACTTCCCTGTGGATGAGCCATGTGCCCTAACTGGCACACTGGTCTACTGTGACAACCCCATGTCCTCAGGCCCAGAGAGAGGCCGGAGAGGTGTCAGAAGAACCTGTGCCCGCCGCGGTCCCAGCCAGCAGCAGCTTGTGCACCCAGAGCAGACTGGGCTAGCTGCTGCAGCATCGGGCCTGAAATGAGGCCCCTGAAGGCACAGCGCCCTCCCCCTCCTCCAGGGGGAAGCTGGGGCTGCTCCCTGGAACAGTGACTGCCCGCTTGTTCCAGAAGGGGAAGTGAGTAGACGGCCAGCGTCATGCCTGCCCACCAGCTGCCCCCAGTTCATCCGGCCCTGCTGGGGCTCATGTGCTCTGGGGCTCCCTCCTGGGGCCAGTGGGGGGCAGCAGAGCCAGGAGGAGTCACTGCCTGCCTGCAAGGGACTGCAGTCTGTCCACACTCCGGAAACACCCATGGATTCTTTGACCCCAGCAGCGAACAGAGCCAGAGGTCCTCAGGGTTCCAGACACTCTTGGGCAGAGGGGAGGATGTGCGTGGGGTGGGGGGAGGAAGGGAGCGCAGAGGCAAGTGGTAAGCGGCCTGGGCGCCCTCTGTGCCACATGAGATGGCCCTGGCTGGCCCAGAGGGTTTGTCTCCAAGGTGGGGCCCCATCTGGGGGTCAGCGCTGACCGAGGGCTGCTGTACAGGGCTGAGGGGAAGGTGGGGAAGAGGCGCCGGAGGGAGCCATGTCTGTGCTGGGGGCGGGTTAGAAGCAGGTGAGAGGGCTTGAGGGCAAGGAGCGTGAGAGGGGATCTGGCTGTAGAGGGCGTGTGGCACAGCGCTGGGGAGAGGAGGGGGGGCAGCTGCAGCTGGGGCCCAGGTCGAGGGCACTGGGAGGACGGGGCTGTGAACAGATAAGGACGTGGCCAGCAAGAGGTGGCGTTGTGGACCTGGGAGGCACTGCCGGGGGCTGGGTGGGCAGGAGAGGGCCCGGGGCTGCAAGGTGGATGTGCGGACTGTAGGGAGACACTGTTCACAGATCAGTTATCTTTGCATTGCAGCAGCATTTATTGAAACATAGATTGAGACAGCCCAGAAGGCAAGGCACCCACAGACAGTCGTGACAAGGGGGAGACCCGGCCGGGCCTAACCTCCATCCCGCCAGTTCTGCATTGTCAGACCCCTCCTGCACCAGCAGGGGGCGATCTGGAGCAACCATAGAATTTTCTTTGAAATGTATAAAGGTGCATTGAATAGCAAGGCCTCCCCCCCCAGCCGGCCTCTCCAACTGGGGGTCTCATGAGGAGTTTGGCTGGATCAAGTTAACAGAAGAAGGAAATCAGTCAGAGAGACAAGCAAAATACAAACAAAATTAATCACTGGGCCGTGCTTCCTGCAGAGACCTTCCAGGATTAAGGGCGTTGCTGGGGGTTAGGGGTTGGAGTTGGGGGTCAACTTCCTCTCTGACCCCCGGGTTGGCTGACTGGCTGGACTCACTCCTGGGGAAGGCCAAACTTCCATGATCGGCTGTCGCCCTGAGTGACGGCCAGTATCCAGAGAGCTTGGTGAGAACACAAACTGGCTAATGACATTTTGGAGTAAAATTAGAGTTAAGGGAAAGGCTAAGAGTGATTCTCTAACTCAAGTCGACAAGACCAGGGATCAGCTCCTGAAAAGGAGAAGCTGGAGGAGAGCGGCCAGCGGGGTCTGTCCTTCTAAAGGAACATACGGAAGATTCTGGAAGCAAGCACACATTTTCCATTCATACACCATCCTGTGCTCGGGCGGACGCCGCGGGCCGGCCTCTAGGCAAAGCGGACTGACCGGCTGCTCCCGCAGCTGAAGTTGGCGGAGCGGGTCTGGCAGGGGTTACAGGAGTCGGGGGCCATCACTGTGATGCTGCCCCCAGTGGCCATGGGGCCAGAGGCAATCTGGCGCCCTGGGGTGCTGCTGTACGTGAGGCCTCCGCAGCTGACACCACCTCGGGAGCTGCTGACACCTGTGGGGAGGGTGGGAGGTGAGAGGCCTGCTGCCATCCAGCCAACAGGCCCTGCAGGGCATCTAAAGGGGTCTCAGGGGCTGATAACTCCGACTCCCTTCCCTCAGCATCTCAGCCCACCTGGGCAGCAGGGACAGGAAGGAGCCAGGCCAGGCCAGGGCCAGGCCCTGGACCCACCCGCAAAGCTGCCTTGGCTCATTTCTACGACCTGCAGTTCTCCATGGTCACCACCGGGGGCGCTCAAGTCTGCCTTTGCTTCTGCCCTCTGCTCCCCAGGGAGGAGCCGGGGGAGGGTGGACAGACCCCTTCCAGTCTGGAGCATTTGAGCTACCATGGGGGACAGCTTCCACTTGACCCATCAACAAAGCCTCGTTTGAAGCAGATACTTACAGACATTCACGGAACCAACGCCTTCGCACAACCTGTGGGGGAAGAAAATGTCCTTAGTCCTGGACGCTGGACCCTGAGCTGGATTCCTTGAGGAGGATGGTTGCTCAGGTAGGGGTCCTACCCGCGAGAGGCAGCAGGGGCACCCAGAGCCCGCAAGAGAGGCCCACTTTTGTTCTCTTGCCAGTCTCTGAGTGGTCACAGTTAGGATTAGGGGAAGCTGTGATTGCAGGCGGTGTCCATTCTGCACGGCCCCAGCAGCCTGGAAGGAGCTGATGAGCTCTCACACACAAAGCACCGAGGGGCTTGGGCTGGCG